GCCTACGATTAATGGTAGTAAGTCTACCATAGCGAATACGTAATACATATGGTACATAAGTCTACCATATGTGAAACATAAGTCTACCATATATGGTACATAAGTTACCACTAAAGACCTTACATAAGTCCACCATACATAACAACACATAACTATATCTCTTCTACTTGAAGAAATATGAAATCGCAGCGAAGACAACAAGCACGGCAAGAGTCAAATACCCTCCACCCTGGTTGCCGTATAGCTCCTTCAGGCGACCCACTTCTGTTTCAAGCTGGCTTACCTTGTCCATCACTTGTCCCATGTCGTGTATCTCGCCATTGGGGGCCATCCACGTTTGCATATGTTCCAATCGAGCCTCTAAACGAGGATCAAAAGCTTGGAGTCTGGCAACCCTTTCGAGCTTCTCGCTCTGCACCTCAAGTTTTCCCTTCATGATGTCGCATTCCTCTGTAATAGCCTCGTCCCACCATTTCCAGATATGGGCTCGATTCTCCTACACAGAATAAAGTAAAGATATAAAGAAACAATCAACCAAAACAATCAACACAAACTACTCATCTTACCTCCTTGTACCAGTCTGGACATGTGTAGTACTTTCGTCCCGGTGTCCCCGTCCGAACACATGATGCTTCAAAGATGGGCGCCTTTCCACAAACAAAACATCGCCGGGGAATTCCATAATTTGCGTCAGCGTAAGCCCAACTCATGTCCATTTCAGGCCCCTCCGACGAACTCTCACTGTAGCTTATCGGCATTGGTGCTATTTACCAGAAATTATGGAAACAGGTATATGAAATAACAAAGGAACTTGGCAGATAAGTCTATCAAATGAATTTTATTTGAGACAAGTCAACCACATATTACCTAAACCAGACAAGTCTATCATATGTATTATTTACCAGACAAGTCGATCAAATAAAGTATATGTGAGACAAGTCTATCAAATGTCAAATAGTACGAAGAAGCTACAGTGTTTACGAAGAAAAAATAACATCGGAATTTGTTTTGTCCTCACCGATATGCACACCGGAAAAGTAAGCTACGACCATTACAAACTAGTATGGTGAATCCGGTCATGTTGAGTACTAGATAAGTCAGAAATTGTAAAACTCTACAGTAAACCCTAATATAATGAGGAAAAGGCGAAAAATTCTGACGAATAAAGGAAACGCAAACTCACCGGACGTAACAGTAGTCGTGGAGGAAAGGGAAATCAACTTTCGGGAACGTGTTCAAAGAAAACGCCGGAAATATAAGAGAGAAGACTTAATCGCCGATTAGTCGCCCTTTGGAAAAACTAAGGATATGGTTTTTTTTCGGGGAGAGAGAAAGTAATGTTAGGGAAAAGAGACATATGTATTAGTAGTAAAACAAATAGTTCACATCAAGTCTACCATATAAAAATAATAAATCTACTATACAAAAATAATAAGTCTACTATTCAATAATAATAAGTCTACCATACTCAAGTACGAATCCCAATAAACGGGTGTTTAAGTCTACCATTCAATGCAAACGGTTATGATATGTTTATAACCATTTTTTCCGACCGTTGTAACGGTTGGGATCTGTGGTTTCCGGCTATAAATACAACTTCCAGTCAAAGTTCCTTCTCATGCCAGAGGTTTAATATGACCAATCCAATGAACATCAACTCTCTCCCATCAGATATTTTGTACGAGATCCTTCTGAAAACTTATTCTAATTCGTATGCCGATCTCTGTCGAGCAAAAGTTTCATCCAAAACGCTAAACGACATTAACAATGAAGAGGGATTTTTGAGAACGGTTGATTTACTATCATTTATCACACCATGGGTTTGGGATCAACAGGGGAGGGTTGGTGTATTCTTTACACGCTGATTGGAGGCCGGAAATTTGTCTGCGCAATTCCGTAGAGGTTTATCATATATATTCTACGAAGAAGATAGCCTACAGGCAGGGTTGGATTTAATTAGGCTGGCATCAAACGGTGGATTACTCATGGTCAGGTACTGCAACACTATGTTCAAACTAACCATGGATGGGAGCTAGGAAATTTTCAATGCCATCCACGATCTTTCACGGGAAGAAGCAACAAAGATTAGAAGGAATATGCAAGACGTCGTCGTCTGTCTAGTCAACTTTACGAAGCCGGAAGAACTCGCGAAATGGTGGGCCAGGTTTATTTGAAATCTTCCTCTAGGAAGTGTGTTTGTCTCAAGTTGCTATGGGAGATAAAATTCTGGTGGACACATTTGGTGACCAACTTTGCGAATCCTGCTTCTGGAAATTGGAGTGTGCCATATTCTGGGATACAATACCATCATTTGCCATGGTATGGCCTCGATAATTCGCTTCCTTATTATATTAAGAACTCTATCATTCAGTCGTAATGTAATAAACAAATCTATCTTGAGTAGAAAGAACTATATCAATATCAAATAACTCTACCATGAGAAAGATTTTATTTAAACAAATCTAACACAAGTATAAAACTACACTATTAATTTCAAATAAGTCTATCTTTCAAATTAAACATGAATTTCGTCCATGCGAACAATCTAACAACGTATCAAGACGAACATCAACAATACAGCCAAAAATATAGTTCTGTCAATAAAAAATAACATCAACTAAGCTGAAGTGTCTCCCTAAACCATTGAGCCGGTAATTCATCCTTCATCTCAGCAGCATATTTCAGTCGAAGCCCTGCAACTGTCTCATCATTAAGAGTATCCATGGGACATCCAAGAGCCAAACATTCGATAATCTTCAAGGTAAAGACCCCAAAATCGTCAGTTTGTACGTTTTGAGGAACGTTCTTCATAATGAAGGTGTGAAAGGTTTGGTCGTGTGTCCATTCCCCGGAAAACAATTGACAAAGCAACAGTGGAATCATCCTCGCGTATGCCCTCACTTCCTGTTTCAGTTTTCTATCCGGATATGCTGTTGAAATGCAGTCATATATGTGTACCCTTTTCTTTGGAAGGTGTACCTCAACGGCAATCCAATGCTTACTTCCGATATTGTGACATATGTACAACAGATCCACATCCTTGAACCATATCTTCTTAGTGACTGCAAAGTCAGGAGATCTACCGTACGCGACGTCAATGTAACCACTCCGGAATGCCCATTATTCGGATTGGGTAAGAAGTCTCGCTGAAATTCTACAAGCCACTGGCCGGTGAAGAGCGGGTCTAAGAAAGCCACCCTACCATCTCTTTGGAAGGGACACAGGTCTCTCAAATATCTTTGCCGGAACATATGCATCTCCGCTGTCATATGCTGGAAAAATAAATCTACCATTCATTATCGTAAATCTACCATTCATTATCTTAAATCAACAAAAACAAAAATAAATCTACCATTCATTAAGTCTATCAATAAAACGTTTACCTTTTTGGAAACAAATAAATCTACCAATGTGAAAAAGTTACTTGATCGCCCAACTAGCTATATTCCAAAATAGGCCAGTCGGCTTTAGCAGTCATCATTTGAAGGAAGAACTCTATTATTGGGTCAGTGTCACCAACAGCATTATCCCTGCAACAATGACAAGCTTATAAACAAGTCTACCATATGGAGGTTATATTGAAATCAAAAGGAAAGGATACTTACAGTTCTGGAGTTATAAAGTCTAACAAAGCTGAATATTTACTTCGCTCAACTTCTTGGAACAGATCGTATTGTCCTTCTCCAGCAAAAACACCAAACATTATGCGTTTCACCGCAGAACTGCCAACAAAAGGAGACCTTTGGCTGGGAGCAAGATTGCGTGCCTTTCTTAGTCCATGGGCATTCTCCTCGTAGACATCATCCTTGCTTACAAACTCTACCACCTTGTTTAAATTAGCCTTAAATGCTTTATGCATAGCATTTTCCACCGGGTCTGACAGAGATGAAAAAGAAGATGAAGGCTGAAGTGGATCTCGTGAAGGCGGATCCACCAGTTTTCTTGGCTTTTGGGGAGGGAGTGTAGGCTTTCGTGGTTGCTTCGGAGGAGGAGGAGGTATTTCGACACACTCTTTGTTGTTCCCAGTCGTTCGGCTTTTAAGATGTGGTTTGGTCTTCGAATTGGACGTCGGGGTTTGAGTTCTAACCACCCTAGCAACTGTAACAGCTGGGTCGTAGGTCGCGTCTTGCTCCACCATCCATGACTGCCAAAAAAAAAAATCAACCATTAAGAATATAAGTCTACCACAACTATAAACAAAGTCTACCATTAAAATTGAAACAAGTCTACCATAACTTATACGTCTATCAATAAAAATAAAACAAGTTTACCAGATCTTACAAGTCCACCATTACGTAGAAAACAACTCTACCATAACTTATACAAAAAACTGTAAGATGAACAAGTCTACCTAAGATAATAAAATAAGTCTATCACGAGGTAAATGCGAACACGTAAGACTACCCACACATAAATAAGTCTATCTACCTGATGAATTATACATACAAAATAAAACAACTCTACCAAATATATTTATTAATTGTCTACCAAACATATATTTGTATTGCTACAGAGTTGCCAAATCCATGTCTTTTGTAAACCCCATGATTTTAGTTTTGAAAGAAAACATAGTCATTTCCCCCTTCTCCAATCCAAGTTACTTTCCTCAGTTCCTTGGATTAGAAAAGAGCCTTGCGGATTACCGGATCTTTGTCACCGGAACCGTTTTTGGTTTTAGGAGGAGGTTTTGGTTTTGCAGGTGCTTTCGCTGTTGGGGTTGCATTTTTGATTGCAGATCCTACGGAATCTGCTTTCTCCTCGGCCCTTACTCCCTCCGCCTGCGGCACCTTTTTAGCCTCCTCGAGCTTAGTCATCCTAGCTTCCAATCCACTCATTCGGGCTGTAACATTGGTGTCCATTTTTCCCACTTGAGATGCCAACGCTAGAAGAATTTGTTTCATCTCCACATCACTGTCCTCGACGATAAATAACTTCTTCTCATTCATTTTCTTCTTATTATTCAGGTCTCTCTCTTTCCTCAAGATTTCTGCAAGAGGGGTGTCGGAATCCGCATCTCGCTCTTCACCACCAACCATATTGTTATCATCCTCAACCTCTGTTGCCGGTTTCTTATTCTTCTTCTTCTTCTTCTTCTTCTTCTTCTTCTTGCTCTTTTTCCTCTCACCTTCGCTCTCCTCTCCACTTTCATCAGTAATTTCCTTCGCCTTCTTCTTCTTCTCCTTGCTCTTTTTCCTCTCACCTTCGCTCTCCTCTGCACTTTCATCAGTCATGTCCTTGGCCTTCTTCTTGTTCTCCTTGCTCTTTTTCCACTCACCTTCGCTCTCCTCTGCACTCTCATCCGTCATTTCCTTGCATTCTTCTTGTTGTTCTTCTTTTCCTTCTTATCACCGTCGCTGTCTTCTTCACGTTCTTTGCTCTTACCCTTTTTTCACCTTCTTAACTTTCTTTCCCACATCGCTATCCGCCTCACTCTCGTTACTCATTCTCTTTTTCGTCTTCTTGTCCTCAGTTCCTTTCCTCTTCTGGTTTTTCCCCTTTTGCTCAGATGGTGTGCTAGGCTCTGGAACAAAATCATCCTCACCCCAAAACGACTCATTAAGGGTTCCAACAAGAATATCTTGGATCATGTTGTGAAGCTTCTTGTCAACATTTGGATCTGTGTCTTCATTTGGGCAAACCGGGTAAATCTCCTCCAGGGGGGGTCTCACCAGTAAATGGATCACCCAAACCTACATTAG